ACCTGGACGGTTGGTTAGCAGCGATGGCGACAATTCCCTCGGGTACATGCTCGGAGGAGAAGGCCGAGCATGAGTCGAGGACGTCGTAGAGAGCGGGGGTGAGGTGAAGCGGGACTGGTGGAGTAGAGAGCCGGTCGAATGGATACTGCCAGCACATCTTCCGGCCATGCATCCTCACTCGGAATAGTTTTACTGGTCTCGTACCCAGTACCTGGCAGGGGGAGAGAAGATGTGGTGAGGGAACACATTAAAGTCCATTTGGTCTTGAGAAAGATTTTTAAAAGTCTAAATATTTCCAGCAACAAAACTGTGGAGGGCAAGTTGTGGTGACCTTGTTCTAGTATCAGAGGTCTCCGGTAATGGCATCGAGGGCAGTTCTGATGCATGGACACCGTTGGTCAGGTCCGATGTTGAGATCTAGCCGCACACGTTCCCGAGTCCCCAGTCCCCCTCCCTCCCCCTCCCCCCTCTCCAAGACACAGAGACTTTGGAAGAGCTTGGAGCGCCTCATCTCATCGGCTGAAGCTAATCTGTAAATGAGGTTATAACAGACGGTCATGTGATGTGATGCAGGAGTCATTTACTCATGAGGGATCGAGCGAGATGATTCTGAGGTTGATCGAGAGTCCGCAGAAGGAACCGGGACCGCTGCTTCCCCGGGTGGAACGGAACCGAGACTCCTACACACAACATCTGCCATCATCCTCCTTCCTCCTGTGTACTCATTCAGGCTGACCTGACTGGAGGGGAAGGAGGAGAAGAGGTGAATGGTAGTGAAGCAGCAGTCCTCACCAGATCCATCTCAAAGTAGACCGTTCTCCACCGGTGAGGGCAGTGACCACCTGATGGTCGTTGAGGGCACATTTCAGGATGCTCTCTTCCCGGGAGACTTCCCATTCGTTGACTCTCTTGTCAGCTCTTTATGTGACGGATCCACTTCTGGGTATACCTGGAGAGAGAGAGAGAGAGAGAGAGATCTAGCTAAAAAGAGACTTGACGTTGTAGCTTGAACTGGGTCTACTTAGGCTTTGTAAAATCATGATGGACAACCCCGTTCTCATAGAAACAGTAGGGGGTTAGCAAACAGCGGATGCCACCTGGATAAGGCGTCGTCTCCGAGACGAGAGGCAAGCCAAGGTGGGTGTGGTCCCAAGGAAACCGGAGTCCGTGACCTCTTCCACCGTCTCTCCAATGAGAGTACGAGAGTGGCTGTGAGGAGACCACGATATAGGCTCATAAACTCCTCTGTAGGTGGGTGGGGAGGAGAGAGAGAGATGATGATAAATTCACTGGCTATATTCTAATCAGTTTGGTGTGTGCGCTGCGTGTGAACATTACCATCATTGGTTGACTCGTGCGACCTAGGGGATGGAGGGAGAGGTGGTACAACACGCTGAAACGAGGTGGCACATTACAACACACAACACACACACACTACTTCCACATTTCTCTTCTTTCCCTCAGTTTACGAAAAGTTTGTGATTTCACAATCATACAGACTTAAGGCTTTGTTTGGAGCTAAAAATGAGCACAGTTCAGTTTTAGAAGAACTTTGGAGAAATCACCAAATTTTCTAGAAATTTTCCACAGAATATTGTATGCGGAGAGAGATAGGTAACCTGCTGCATTGGTCTTGACGGTCCATACCGCATTAGGGTTGCCTGGCAACTCGGACACTGCCATCTCCGTAACCTAGGAAACGATAGTGTATGTAACCGATGGCGACGGCGTGAGGGGGAGGGGGCGTACCTCCAGTCCATGTCGCAAGACACGGAGTGAGGACCGGGGACCACGCCCACATGCCAGGTACAGCTGCGGGGTGTCCTCATTGGCCAAGTCTGAGATCTAGTTCAGATAAACCTCATAATGCACCACCAACACTTCTGCTATGACACTAACATGAGCGGACATGATGGGAGACAGGGACTCCAGTTCATCCACCAGAACAAGGTTCTTGAGTGGACGAGGAGCAAAGAAGAAGGTCTCCCCTTCCTCCAGTGGCATGGCCGACGAGAACTCCGGCTCCTCATCGTCGTCTCCGAGATGAGCTATCTGATAGAGATAGCTGGGAGGAGAAGAGAGTGAAATGGGAAGGGAGGGAGATGGGAGAGAAAGGAAACACGAAAGAGAGGAGGGAGGTGAGATGAGAGAGAAACTAACTGGTTTCCAAACTCTGAGGCACAGAACAGAAATCCAGTTCTGAGGACACACAATCCAGCCGCCACGGCAACTGTGTCGAAATACTTGATTCTAATCTCCGTCACCTGAAACCAATGGCAACAAGTGACAATTCCTCCCTACTCCCCTGGCCCATCGAGCCAGCCAATCACTCACCACATCTTCCTCTGACTCCAGAGTAACCTTGAACAGGTCTCCCTGCTCGGTTTGAAGTAGGAAAAAGAACATGTGCTGCAGAGGAAAAGATAGAACAGCAGGCAATAAATATTGTAATCCCCAACTATGGAATGTAATTCTTACCTTTGTTTTGTGAGTGGCACTGCAAACAAAGAGCATACTTCTCTCGGCATCGTCCAAGTCATTCTACCACACCCACCAAATTATATGAATTATTCATCAACTCATGAATTATTCATGAGTCAAACCCACTAACCTTTCTTCGAGGAATGGGACAACGAAGGTCAGGCTGGTCTCCAAAGTTCTTGTAGAGGAGGTAATTCTCACAACAGACCAGAATACCACTCGGTCCGTCACTGCCTCCCGGGACTGCGGAGGGAATGATGTCATACGAGGAGATGATGATGTAATGGTAAATACCTCGGATGAGTAGGTTGGCGGTGTCCTCCAGAGGCTCGCTGTACTTGCGGACGACGTGGTTTAGTCCGAGATCTAGCTCATAGAACGTTAGCATCTACAGAGAGAGAGGGTGAAAGGAGGGAGAGAGGAGAAAGGAGAGGAAAAGAGAGAGACAGTAGGAGAGGGTAAGTGGATAAAACAAGTGAAAGTAGGCACCCACCTGTTGTGCTATCTGTGCCTTCTCTCCAGTAGGATCATTGTCTGCCTCCTGCAAATCAGAAAAGTCAGCAAGGGTGCTCCAATCCAAATGGAGCCCACCTACTCCAAATAGAGCCCACCTCATAGTCCAGTTCCAGACATGCAAACATAGGGTTCTCGAAGCCCACGTCCACACCGACGATGTCGTAGACGAGGGTGTGTGCCTTGTGTGCCTCCAGTGGGGAGGAGATGGTGAGGCGGGCAGCTGCATCTCTGTTCAGAATGTACACCAACTTCTGCTTCTCCACTGCACCTGGTGGGCGAGGGAAAGAGGACATAGATGTACAAAATCACAAAAACAAAAGCAGCATTAGTGAAACATGGGCATAAAATACTGGATAAAGGTGGCACTTTTTAAACTCTTGTGAAACCATTGAAGTTAGAAAGTGGGGGAGACGGTCAGATGTGTACGTACCAATCATGATGGCTCGTCCCTTTGGGTCCACGGCCATGTACTGCCCAGGGACAATACGTCGACATCCGCTCTTCCCAAACGTCTCCTGGTGAATCTGGGGGGAGAGAGAGTTTGGAGTCAGTTGAGTCGGCCCACAACCACTGATGAAAATGAGTCACCTTCTCAAATACATTCTTGGCTGGGTTGTATTCCAGGATGGTAATCCGTCCCGAGTCCGCTCCCACCACTATGTAGTCTGTATAGAAACACGAGGGAGTGATGGGTGGCGTTAATTAGAACCACAACGCCATTACACTTCACACCTTTAGTGGAGCCTGTGAGTCTGACGGGTTGTATGGAGCGAATGAGGCCGCATACCTCCTTGGAGACCACAGAGTGCAGTTTCCCTGTGTTGGGGTCCGCTCGCAGCAGCTCGAGTGTCTTCCCGCGGCCCACAAGGATCTCCTGCTGCTTCGTGCCGGAGAAGTTCCCGTGCACCGCCTGGTAGATGCAGGAGGCCTTCTGCAGGGTGAGCGCGTACAGATGCATCTTCCCGCCGTCTCACAGAACTACTTGCTGCGCGTGCGGTCGGGTCCACGCGCCTGCAGCGCATGCGCATCAAGGAACCTCGAGATATAGGCGCGTAGTAGGTTAAGACTTAGCGCTCACCAATCATCACATCAGAGCAGAAGGCTAGGTGTATGGCGTACTACGGGCAGCAACCGCCGGCGGCAGGGCCGCCTCCCGTGGACCAAACCCAGCAGTTTCTGTGGGGAATATTTCAGAAGTGAGTGTCTGGATACGAAAGCCGCTACACGGCCGGGGCCGGCGCAGCGTTTTACGTTCACAACGCACGGTGCAAACGTTCTCTATCTCTTTTCTCCGTATGTAGGGTCGACAAAGACAGGAGTGGCGCCATCACTGTTGACGAGCTTCAGAGTGCCCTATCCAACGGTAAACCACCACGCCAGAGATATAGGGAGGAGGGAAAATAGGGATAACAAATCAGCCCCACCCAACCCCCCTTCCCCTGCTAGGTTCATGGACTCCGTTCAACCCAGAGACTGTTCGCCTGATGATAGGGATGTTTGACCGGGACAGGACGGGCACCATCAACTTCCAGGAGTTTGGAGCTCTGTGGAAGTATGTCAACGACTGGCAGACCACGTTCAGGAGCTACGACAAGGACAACTCGGGCTCCATTGACAGGGGAGAGTTGAAGACAGGTATTGGCTTGTTGTTCTCGTCTCTCCCACTCACTCCCCTTTCCTTGCCCTCACACACTATTTCTCTCTTCTCCTTCACAGCAATGGCTAGTTTTGGCTACCGATTGTCTGATCGATTCTACGACACCCTCATCAGGAAATTTGATCGATCTGGTCACGGAACTGTGGCTTTCGATGACTTCATCCAGTGCTGTGTCGTCATTCAGGTAATGTTGTGCTCTTCATTTTACCATTCAAGATGTCTGATAATAATGAAAAGCACCCTCGGCGCACCGCGCATGCACGGTACCGCTAAATATAGGGGGGGGCTGGGCTAGGAGTAGCGGAGAGTCTTACACGGGCTAGCTACACTAGTAGAGAGAGCATGCGGGAGTCGACACACGCCCTTTTTTGTGCCTTCTTGTGTCTCCGAGGTACGCAGAGCAAGCGGATCAGGTCGAGGTAAGCCCAGTGCGATTATGCATGAGAAAGACTTGTGTGTATCCACCAAATTGTAAAATTGTACACCTGCCCCTCTCCCTCCCTCCAGACTCTGACCGGCTCGTTCAGAGCCTACGACACCAACCAGAACGGCTGGATCCAGATCTCCTACGAACAGTTCCTCACTCTCGTCTTCAACCTAAAGGCCTGAGACTCCGCCCACTGAGACCACACCCACCAACACACCTGACAACTATCTGAACTGTTTGAATTTTGTTACGTGGACGCTAGAGCTAACGTGATTGTTGTGACATTCAGTATAGTGTTCTACTACTTGTGTCTATGTCCTCGTTTGGTCTTTGAGCCTGCATAGTATAATAAACAGATGATATTGTGAACCAGGTTATAGAGAGGGGGGGAGAGAGAGATGCACTTTACCTCCAGCAGATCTCTTGCGAGCTGACGACTTTTTCTTCCCGCCACTGCCAGGCTGGTGGGCAGAGCCCGAGGGGAAAGCCCCAAGGTCAAGGTCATCCAGTACATCACTAGCTCCACCCCTTTGTCGTGTACCTTGACCCTTACGCTTCTTCGGCAGCCTTATGAAATTTGCCTCCTCAAACCTACAACGTCCAAATTTAGTAGCAAACATTCTTGAAGTTTTGGCTTACATTTCTCTCTCCTTCTCTTCCTTAGTCTCACGATGGCTTCTGAACCCACTGCCCACATCCTGTAACACAGGAAGTGAAGTAATAGGTGATCATGTGATAGTCACATGACCTACGTTGACTTCCTCCGGGATGTCAAGGTACTCGTTCCGCAACTCCTGAACAATCGAACTCTGAACCTTCTTCTTTCTCTTCCTCTCCTTCACACCTTCATCATCGTCACCATCTGCACACCTCCACACAGTCACCACATTCCACGTGATGATGTCACTCACCGTACGGCATGGCAACCACTCTTGGAGGAACGTAGAGCTTTGCCCTCTCCTCCTCTTCATCACTCTCTCCTGACATCCTTCCATCCTCATCTCCCAGCTATAATATATGGGCAGATTCACAACCTTGGCACATTGTTGTATACATTTTCCTGCTCAGTATAATTATACAGTTCACTAATCAGAGTAGTCATCATTAGCCCAGTTGAGGAAGGCCTCCCACACATGTAGACACACACAGTGTATACTAACCTTGGTCACCATGTTGGATGGGTTGGCTCTAAACCTCAGTGGATCGTTGCCTGGAGCAGCTGTGGAGAGAAAGACACCAACTGAACGGATGAAGAAATACGTTGGGAACACGGTGTACTTACAGTACCTATATAGAAGACACCACAAACATTGCCATGCTCACAACAAAAAAAAGGGATCCAGTGACCGTAAACATTGTTCTCTCAGCAATAATGATGACAGTTAAACATGAGTGTTCAAGAATAATGTCAAACCTGCCAGTCCGGTTTTAGCCATCCTGATCAACTTGTCCCACCTGGTAACGCAGCTTCTGGTCCAGTGGGCGGAGCTTCTCCAGGACCTGAGATGATCACATGACTAATGGGTGTTACATCACCATGATATCATTGACATACAGTTCTGATCTCGACCAATCGGAGGACGGGAGGGCTGGCAGAGATGCTCTCACCCTCAGTCTTCATCAACATCAGTTGTACCAGGTTGATCAGGGAGCTGCACGGACACACATCTTTATAGAATGTAATATTTTATGACCGCATGTGGTGTGCTGATTATAATGTGTGTTTGTAGTGTCCATATCTTCAGCATGCCTGTACAATGGAACCTCTCTGATAATGGGACGAAAGAAAGAAGTGAGGTGGCACTATTTCAGAGTATCTTTTGGGGATGTGCGTGCAGCTAACCTCAGCAATAGTTGGACTTTGACGTCCAACAGACTGATTCCGTTCTCGGTGCTGGTCTCTGGACTTGTCACGTGACACAACAGCTGCTCAACGTGACGTGTTACCACTGGCACCTGCAGCCCAGAATTGTTAGCAGCTATATAACTCACCGGAACCACAGCACATACCTTCTCCTTCATTTCCTCTAAAACGTGCAGGAACTCTGGAAGATCCCTCGCAACCAGTTCCTCGTCCACTTCGCTCTGTTCTCCCATTCTCAATTCTCGACAGACGTTCTAAATGACGCTCACCAACCACGGCGCGTGGGAGGGCGTTAGATAGAATATCTAATGGGCCGTAAGAAGAAAAAGACGGGCGAGACAAAGACAAGCGAGCCCAACCCGTTTGGAGTGAAAAAGGCCCCCAAAAAGAAGAACAAGAAGAAGAGAAAGAAGAGGAAGAAGGTGAAACAGCGAGAGAGTTGCCATTCTAATGTTCTGAGATGTGAGAGAGATAGTTGCCATGGTTTTCCTGATCAGGTTGCGGAGGGAGAGATGGCTGTGGAGGAAGTACTGTTACTAGCAATGAGTCAGGGAGCTAAGGTGAGCTCTAGGTGGATGGTGTATCACATGATCCAGTGCTCCTTCGGTGGCAGAGGGGCCGGGGGAAGAAGGTAAAGGGAGGAGGCAGAAGAGAGGGGGAGAAGCTGAGGGAACAGAAATCACAGGCTCTCGAGGAAGCGGTGAACGAAACTATTGCTCAACTGGCAACTGTACTGCATCTATAGCAACCAGTAATCACAACCATCTTGCACTAAATGCTATGGCAACAGCACTCATGCCTTATTCTCTACTTCATTCTAATATTTAATGTGTAATAATAATCTTTGATATCGACTGATGAAATTACCAACAATTAAATAGCACAGCACATTAACACAAAACAGATGAGATTATGGTAGATAAAAGCTATATTTAGTAACAGTTCCAATAGCAGCGAGTGTGGTGACTGGGGGGAGGGGCAGGTCAGGAATAGATGGTGATGACCTCGTGACCTCCACCTCTCACCATTAGCACTCTCTCAAGACCTTCGGTCAGGACATCCAGAAATTCCATGTCTGTTGGCCAAATAGAGTCAAAGGACAGTACCAACAGAGGAGGAGGGGGAGAATATGTAATTAGTCAAGGAAGGAGAGAGGGAGGGAAAGATTAAGTTCTAAAGGAGGAAGAGAATAGATAGGGAAGGAAACAGAACAGGTGTGGGATACAGTTCTCCTCGTCGGCATGGTTACGAGGTGGCCCTGGGAGATTGATGATAACGAGGGAGGCATCGTGGGATTTCTGAACGATGAGCTCGTTCAACTTGACCGAGGTGTTCATTCGACGAAGATTATCGTCATGTCTGCCAGAATGAGGGAGGGGGAGAGAGAAGTACGCTCACATTATTGGCAATGGAAGGCAAGCAAGGCCATAGAAGTGTGACGGTGTTTTCAGATAAGTTGCCTATCACGATGACTAGTTACATTTGCCAATCAGAGGTACACATTTCGCCAGCTTACGGTTCAGAGGTGAGACCTTCAGCAACCTCAGCAGATTTGGAGTGGTTTCCGTCAAAGAAGTTGTCATAAGCTCTGATTGAGGGGTGGACAAGAAGAGGGGGTGATCCGGCATTGGTCTGTGGCGGTGCAGCCTCCACTGCCGGCTGCAAGGAGAGGAGAGAGAGGTAATGGCCACAGTGTGTTGGAACTATACGTAATTCTGAGTCCACACGTTCAGTATACACAGTGAGGGAAGAGGAGAACTAGAGTGTTCATGTCAAACCCTTCATTGTGTGCCTTCTCCAGAAATTAAGGTTTTTCTGTCAGACTTTTGGTATAAGATTTAGTACATATGCGGGCAGTTGCAACAGGAGTGCAGTGACTGGGAGAGTTATGGGAGATGGGGGAAGAGGGGAAAGAGGGAAGGGGGGGACTCCACAGTTGGAAAAACCTGTGGTCGTTCCAGCAATGGTTTTCGTACTGAGTTCTCATCCTCCGAGCTCTCACTGCTACTGCTGTCACGACGACGTCTCCGTGGCGACGACCCCGGGAGTGCACCATTCTCGCCATCTGAGGTAACACACACACCACTATTAACCCCTTTCCCACTGAATACAGAGTTACAGTTTAACCTATTTTTCACTGCCTGTACATTAATCCTTACCGTACTGCTCAACACTGACCTTCAACAACACCAACTTCCTCCGTGATGGTTGTCATGGGAATGAGGTCCACGTTATCAGTTTCCACGGTTACATCGGAGAGAGCGAGTGCAGCGGTGGTGGACGGGTGGGGAGGGTGGTCAAAATGAACCCTCCGGAGCTGGGGAACGGGGATGGAAATTTCCCCGGGGGGCGAGGAGGGGGTGGGGGGTATGGCGGGGATGGACATCTGGCGGGAGCTGAAGGAGCGAGCGAGGAGGTGCTGCACGTCTCCTCTCTTCTGCTTCTCTGTCATCCTCATCTTCTGGAGCATCTCGTTCCTCTGCTCCATGATGAGGGTCCTCTCGTATGTGTATGCCGAGATGTCTGTGTCGGGCTGCGTGGTGGCAAAGAGCAGATTTGGATATTGGCAAGTGCAGTGATAGAAGACTGACCATTTCAATGACGTCGACTTCAGCTGGGATTCTCAACTGGTAGAGAAACATGGCCAGATCTCTCTTCATCTGAATACTGTTGTCCTCCAGTTCTGTTGGCCAACTCTTTCAGGAAATAAACTTCTTAACTTTGTCTCTCTCTCTCTCTCTACATGTTATGATAATCAAATGCACCAAGCTACTACACCTTGCCCTTCACTACATACGTCTCTCTCTCTCTCTCTCTCTCTCTCTCTCTCAACTTTGTCTCTCTCTCTCTCTCTCTACATGTTATGATAATCAAATGCACCAAGCTACTACACCTTGCCCTTCACTACATACGTCTCTCTCTCTCTCTCTCTCTCTCTCTCTTCACACACACACACACACGCACAGTACAGGAAGTAAAGGAGGGATACGTGCCACGGTGAAGATTCTGAGGTAGCAGTGTTTCCAGACTTTGTGTTGCCTCAGGAGGAATGGGAGGAGCATCAGAAGTCCTCCATCGTGGACCACCCACCATATGTCAATGTGCCCCTTCATCCTGTCCTCGTTACTGGGGTACCAGTTTATTCCCTTGGGAACCAGCACGGCCAGTTCCATGGCAGACGCCACTCTGATGGTCTCTGGGATTGGGAGAATGGGAGAATGGAGGAATGAGGGAATGGGAGAATGAGGGAATGAGGGAAATGTTGAATATAAAAATGGGCAGTAAAAGAATGAGAAGTGGGGAAGGGAGAAATAGAGGATGAATGGAAAGAATTCAGCAATGAAGGATTGAAAGGAGGGAATGTGAAAGGAAGAGTTTCGCTCACCAACAAAGTTCCTCCATGAAGGTTTCTTCCTCCAGGAGTCGGGCCAGCCCAGGAGGATTGTGTTATGCTTCATTCCACCCAGTCCTGCCGTCTGCATCCTGAGAC